AAAGGCATTTTAAACCCTTCCCACACTCTTGCAATATTTTAAACAATGTTTTGAAACTTTAGGCGCTCTGAGCACAGCGTGTCATGAAATCAGCTCTCTGCCTCCAGCTGCACTCTGCCAGTGCTCTTGGCCACGCCCCCTTATCCGCTGCACAGCGGAGAGCATGACATGCTGCAGAGGAAGCTTCTCCTGCAAGATGGCGCTGCACACAGGTGCAGCAGGTGCTAAATAGTTTTAAATAATTTATTTTAAATAAAAATTCCATGCCGATCGTGCGGCTCATCCATCAATCAGCCAGTTGTGTGTCATGTCCAATCTTGTTTTGAAAAACCGCAATAAAGCGAGTCTGTGAAAAACAAACCGTGAAGTAGCGAGGCACTACTGTACACCAAATTAACTACATAATAAGCGCTCACATTTCCAAAACTGTCGGTCTTGATTTCTGCTATCTTGAGAGTGATATCAGGATTCCTGCTGCCTGGAAACAAATGAAACGGAGAAGCATCAAATCAGCAGTTTGGTGACCTGCAAATACAGAAAAATGGCAACAGATGAATTAATAATCTTACCGATACAACGCCACGTCATTAAAGCTTAAGTAGATATAACAATAAGGCTATAAATGAACTATAATAACTGAATAGTGGGACTTGAAAAGAGACCCAAAAAAAAGGACTCCCAGTGTTACACACCTAAGGCTTTTTTATTTTTTCCCTTTTTAAGGTCATGGATTCGTTGAGAGGCAGTGGGTTGATGTGTGAATCCAGTTTCCAGCATTAAGTTTCTGCAGTAATAAACCAGGTAAAATATGAACCAGCTTCATGAAACTGAACCTGAAATAACCTCACCAAGTCATGAATCCTGGCCAGTGGCATTCTGTATGCTTCCAACGCTAGACAACGCATTAAAAACAACTTTTTGTCTTCACACCTGCGCGTGGATATCTGTAGATGTCCGTCTTGCGCTCCTCCAGAGCCGGAGACGGGACGTGGATAATCTCCACTTCAGACTCATCCACCTCCTCGTACAGAATCTGCAGAGTCTTCCCACCATCTATTTCTAAAGCAAAGAAAAACAAGCAGAAAGTGGATACATAAAAAAATATTACAATATAATTTACATTCACATTAAACCTGAAACTACACGCTAAGCCCAGTGTTAGTAAAATCACTGACAACTATGCTTTTGTTTTTGTTTCTAAATCTGGCACCTAGAAAATACATAAAAACAACAATACAAAAATACTCTCTAATAATCATCATAGTATTATTATGATTATCTCAATGAATTGTTCATGGCCGTTACAAAAAATGTGACATTTACCTTCATGAGCAACTGGAGACCACCAGTATCCAGTGAAGCGATCAAATTCTTCCTGAGTGACAAAAGTGGCCACGCCAGCAGATTTAGGATCGTCTTTTGGGTTATCAACGCCTACATAAAAAAATAAACATAAAAAAATGAAACAGTGGTAAAATACAAACTCTGCAGGAAGGCTGAATGCATGAACACCTTTATGACAAAACGTGAGTCTCCTCTCGTCTCCCGTCTCGATGTTTGTTATCCAAATGTCATTATTGTTGATGAAACCGATAAAGTTGGGGTCTCCGGGGCAAATCTTGGGGTCCATGCGTGTGCCTGAACTCTGACTCTTGATCTCTGTGGGTGGCACTGGAGACGTCTGAAAACAAACAAAACAAATAAAAATAGCAAACGATGAAAAGCGACTAAAGGATCAGATCATCTATTAATCAGCGTTCACTAGGAACCCAAAACATTTTGTTGAAAACATTCAAAAGAATCTAAAATGTAAATATACAAAATATGCTAAACATTGAAAACGCTTTGTGTAGTTTATAATGTTTATGAAATTCAAACATTTAATGATCACATCCACAAACGCTCCTGTTTTTAATTAGTTTTTTATTTTTTTATTACTTTATTTTAGGAAAATGTGTCAGAGTAGCTTTTATTTAAAAAAAATTAACATGGTTGCATTGTCCGTTTTATCCTAATGTATTTTATTGATTTTATTGTTTTATTTGTGCATAACAGCTCTTTCTGGCACGTGTGTCTCAAAAAGAGTAACCTGTATAAATAAAGAAATGAAAGGATGAACTGTAGTACTTTCCCTGTTTGATTTTATGGAACAACTTCAGCGTTTGTTTGTTTGAAAACTATCTTTGTAAATAATTTGACATGACTAGCTTGAACACTGGAACATCACTGGGGTAAAAAAAAAAAAGCTAATATTTTGTTAATGCAGTCCAAAAAACATCTAAAATTTCATGATTTTATAACTTTGGTTAAAGAATACAAATAGCCACTTTAGCTAATTTCTCTTTTGGTTTATTTCTTTTGTGGAAAATGATTTTTAAGAATATTTAAAAATAAAATATCAAAATTGATTTTGCTTGCCTGCAGCGTTTTATAGTCCTAGAATCTAGAGGGCAAACCCAGAACAAGCTTTAGAGGCTGTTTAACATAAAGGCCAGCGCCACCCACGCTCAGCTCTATATACACTGATGCACCATGGGAGTTCCCCCGGTGGGACGCAACTTCTGCATGACTTCACCTACAATTAGTCCAGGAGTCCTTTGTCCTCAGGAATAACCTTATACTGTGACTTTGTTCCAGGAGAAAAGAAACTGACATTTACATTTACAAAGTGGGAAATTTGAACATTTATTTTGCTGTAAATTCTGTAATAAGTGATACGTTTCACTGACGTTCAAAGAAAAATAACAAATTAAGCCAATGCTTTTAATCCCAGCTGAACTGGATTTATTATCTAGCTTTATTGTTTCCAATATTAACTTCATTATCTATTTTTTTAATGACTGCACCATTAACAGAATCTGATAAACTGTTTAATAGATTAGCTCGTATAAATGTCAGTTTTTACCATGAGTCTCCAAAGCTTTAAGGTAAACACAGAAGACTTTCTTCAAGATCTGGAGATAATTTGTTTGTTTAAAAAAATAAAAAAAACATAGGACTTATGGAAGAGAGTTCAGGTTTTCTCCGTCTCCCGTAATCAACGGCAGGGAAAGAAGCTTTAAAAGCAAGCTATGAACGAGGATCCAGTTGTGTTTTAATCAAAGCATTTCACAGAAACCTCAGACATTCTGTCAGCTTGTGTCATTTTAATTGCTCTTACTTTTACTGACGCAATAAACAGAATATTTAAAAATCCAGAGATGTTATGCTAAAGTAAAGCTGTTGTAAAGATGTCGCCAGTTGTAAAATCTTTCACCGTTGTGGCAGTGAACTTATGTTGCTTTTCTTTGACTCACGTTGAAAATGTTGTTTGCACCGTCCCGGCAGTAGAACAGGCTGCTGTTGGCCTGGAACAGGAAGAGTCCACTGGTTCGGTGGTAGTCGTAGGAGGTGATGCCAGACACCCCCAAACGCTTGCGCTCCCGCAGCAGCTCCTCCTCCCGAGAGAAGCCCCCGTGGTGAGGGCTGGTCTGGGGTCAGGGGTGACAGGAGGACACGCAGCGTGAGAACACTGGCCGACCAGAAGAGGCCAAAGAGAGTTTGCTCAGGAATTGAAGAACGAGAATGCAGGAGTCGTCATGTTACCTGGGGGCATTTTTTCTACATGCATGTTGTGCATTCATGCAGGTCATCAAAACTTTAGCTATTATTAACAAAACCTTCTGTCTTTCTGGCAAAATATGAATGACAGAAAGCAAGAAAATGTTCTTTACAAAACACATTTTTGAGGGGAAAAAAGACTGTAACCTCCCTACCTGAAAACGATCCAGCATTGGTTTCCACGACAAAACCAGTAGGGCGTCTTTGCGGATCTTCTTGGGGATGTTTGAGTAGAGTAAAGCATTGTCCCTGCTGGCGTAAGGCATTCCTGCAAGGACATGACAGGCCCAGTCTGTAAGTACAAGAGCAATACTAACCTGTCCTACAGTAGAGGCGACTTGGTTTAACTCAGGTCACCACCACAAGTTGGTGAAGTTACCCCCCCACCTTCTTCAAATCTAACCAAGTTGGTGTCAAACGTTTGTGCAGCAAAAAAATTTCGTTTGTGCTGCTTTTGCTTTTTGAAGTAGGGGTGCACCGATAAATCGGCCGGCCGATAAATCCTTAATTTTGGGAAATTGGAAATCAGCCGATACTTGCATGAGAAACCGATTTTTTTTGTTTGTTTCAACAACAATTGTCTGAACTTCATTTATATTCCAGAGCACTACCTCATGGCCAGTTAAAACAAGTTTGTAGCGTTTCTAGGATATTGTTCAAGGGCATGTTTTCAATAAAATAATATTGGAAAATTGAAGATGCATCGTGACCTTACCGCTTATAAAACAAAATCAGTATCGGCCAAAATAGGAATCAGCAGGTCAGGCTTTTTAGAAATCGGTGATCGGCCAGAAAACTGCAATCGGTGCACCCCTACTTTGAAGATATTAATGAAAGTTTAAAGGTCAAAAGGTCAACCAGTCCCCCCACATTACTCAAATCTAACAAAATTGGGGTCAAATGTTTGTGCCGCTATCATTTCAAAGATATTAATAAAAAAGTTTCCAGAGGTCATCAAGGTCAACAAAAATCTGTTCATGTTGGAACCGTTAGGGTTCGGGAACTGACCTTTAAACTTTCACTACCGGTAATATCTTCAAAGCAAAAGCAGCACAAATGGAAATATTTGCTGCACAAACCAGCACCAACGTAGCCGAGTTGATCGACACCAATTTTGTCTGATGTGAAGAAAGTGTGTGGGGGTTGGTTGACTTTTCATGACCTCTGAAAACATTTATTAATATCTTTAAAATGATAACGGCACAAACAAAAATTTTAGCTGCATAAACGTTTGACAGAAAGTGGGGGGGAGCAACTTCATGCAGGTCACCAACCACCACTGATCTTAAACAGCAAGCAGCGCATCTAGTGACCAAGCTAATGGTCCAAGGAAACGGATACTGCCCCCTGCATAAAGTGTGTGTTTACATGCTCGTCAGTAACATATGCATGGCCCACTTTATGCAGTGACGACTGCAAAGAGGCAGGAGCATCAGTAAAAATAAAAAATGTAAAATCCTAAAGAATATTCCATTAGACGACGAGATTTCAGCTGGAGAGCCTAAATATTTTGAGCATATTGAATTTTACAGCCAGTCAAGATGGAAAAATGTTTCTCCGTCGATCATTGTGTTCTGTGTTGATCATTATGGTCTGCTTTTAATCAAGAATCAACAACTGCAGCATACTTCATCAAGAAAGCTTAATGGAAGCTGTTCTGGTAACTCGTGATTAATAAAACATTAATAAATAAGGCACAGCAATAGCGTATGTACAAAATTGTTGTATAGTTACTGGTAGTTCTCTGGTTTTGTAATGTTTGTTGCTATGAATCTGTTTTTAAATGAGTGTTTTTAACTGTAAAACACAATTGATCACCTTGATTAGAAATATGCTACATTCCTAAAACCCACAGCTTCACATCTGTATTTTATTTTTTATTTTTACATTTAATAGAATTTTAAAAGACGCAATTTAAGGTGATCAACAACTGCTGAAAAGATTAAAAAGAGCAACAATTGTAATCAAACGCCAAGCGCCCAGACTTTTGCTTCTATTAGTGTAGTCCACAATTTGTTGGCACTCCTCTTGAAATGGTATCAAACGTAATTTCCTGCTTAGGGCAACAACAATGAAAAAATAAATAAATTAAATTAAAACTGTCCTTTACAAATAAATTAAACAGAAAAATGTCCACAAAGCAAAACATTGTTCGTAGTTCAGTTCCCTTTTTGGTCTCACACGGGCTGCCTGGACTCACTGAAACTCTTTTTGACATAAAACTAAATAATAATAATAATTGTAATAAAACAGTTTGTTTATTCTGAGTCACAGTCGCAGATTACAGACACACAAACTTAAAGTAACTAAATATGCACATAAACAAATAGAGCTCGACAAAAATCTCCTCCTCTGGACTGGAATGTTTTCATTTTAGACATTTTTTGTAAAGTCACATTTCAGATTAAAAAAAGTGAAGTGTAAATAAAAATACATGACTAAAATGTGTGATTCTTTACTGACTTGATTTTAGGGATGCACCGGTCCACTTTTTCCACTTCCGATACCGATACTCGCTGTTTCGTGTCGTTCGATACCGATCCGATATCGATCTGATGCAGAAAACCAGTGCTGAACTCCACTCAACAAACTCGGCGTGCTCTTTAGGGTGAAATCTCTGGAGATGCTTGACTAAGTTGGTAGTGTTATAACTGGAAGTTTTAGTGACACCCCCTGGAACCGTCGCTGTGCACGTATTGCACGTAGCTGTTGAATGCGTTGGCTGACGTAGTGTGAAAAAGTTCCAGATGGCTGATCCTTTCGATCGCTCCAGTTTGAAAACAATCTGCGCGGTGACTTCGCTGGTGCGTGACGTCACTCAGAGCACAAAGCATAGAATTAGAGTGAATGGATCTGCCCAGTCAAGGATCGGTCACATTGTCGCGATAGCCAATACAGATGTTTTTGTGGGGGGGTTCGATATCGGAACCGATACTGACATTGGTATCGGATCGGTGCATCTCTACAATTCAGACAGTAAGAACCTAGAGAATTTCATATTTTCTCATCTTTGTTTTGTGTTAATACATTTCATACCTAAAAAAAAAAAAAAAAAAAGTTTGATTTGAAACAATGTTTTTAGGTATGTGAATTATTGAAATTCATTCAACCTTTATTTA